TGCACATCTGTTATACATATATAGATGCATTTTTAGGAATTACTTTATTTGTTAAAACTTCATGAGAGGTCAATTAGAGTAAATGTCGTATTTTATCGCATCGTAATTTAACAGTTTTTATGACTGTATAAGGGTTAAATTATGCAAATTAGCTTATTTGCATATCAAAAATATTTTTTCTGAATTACTGATGTTATTACATAAACTTTGGTGAAAAAATTAAGTTTGTACCTCATATACTTTTAAAATTATGAATTAAAGTCCATTTTTATTTGACCCCTCCCCTCAAAAATCTGGATAGGGGGAGAATTTTTTTCACAGTCTTTATGTAAGATACAATTCTAATATTTTGCACATTTATTAAACATATATAGATGCACTTTTAGGAATTATTTCATAAGTTATAACTTCATATGAAGGCAATAACAGTAAATGTGATATAACATCATTTCGTCATTTACTAGTTTTTATGGCAGTTTAAGGGTTAAATTATGCAAATTAGCTTTTTTTCATTCAAAATATTTTTTTTTCATTACTGATGTTATTTCATAAATTTTGGTGAAAAAATTAAGTTTGTATCTCATATACTTCTAAAGTTATGAATTAAAGTCTATTTTCTTCTGACCCCCCTAAAATTATAGGGCGGGGGGTATAAAGATGAAGATATCTTATTTTCGCAAGTCTCAAACTCTAGATATCACCCCACATCATAAAAGTAACTTATTTTCGAACAAGAACTGAAAAAATCTCGCGTAATACTTTCCAATATCCATTTTCACTTTCTAGCTGTTTCTCAGAACTTGGGTCCCTGAGTATATGCTAGTTTCTGAATATTTACGATTATTACGGTGAATTCAGTGGCATGCAATAGTGTAACAGGAATTATTACCACCTTGCCGGGCCAGTTCCAGGGGTTTTAGTGTTAGTTAAGAAGCCATTCATAAATACTGTATCGACCTGAAAAATGTGTGACGTCATAGTGGTGGTCCATATGGACCGGTCTAGAATATATTCTGGATCGGCAATTTTCCCCGGGAAATTAGATATCGTTCAATGCGTAAGATTTTCTTGCTGTTTCAGTCCTGGTCGTTAACGGTGGTAATAATACCAATAACGTCATTTCTGCGAGCAATATCACTGGGGAGTATCGTGATGCAACAACACCGTGTTGTTGCATCAAGATGGCCAGACTTCCGGTGATAGATTTTCGTACGATATTTTGTTTCCCCAATTAAACCCATTTCTAGGACGAGTTGCTCAATAACCATACACGTGCAGTTAGCGCACGATCTATATTTAAAGAAACTGTCATTAGTATACATGTACCATCACCAAGAAGCAATAACTTCACGGTTTTAGTTCCTCACTATTGATGCAACAACACCAAACCGAAGATGCAACAACACTCCTCTAGATTTGAGCAATGATGCAGCAACACCAATTAATAGTATAATTTCAGAAGACCATAAATCTCGAGAGGAACAGATTTTTAAATGCTACTATTGCAACACCGTTACCCATTACCCATATTTGCGTTCTTCTCAAGGCTTTCAAAATACACGTCATGCGGGCGAAGATCCTTTATATGTTTTTTCAAAAATTTATACTTTTAAATATTATAATGTACTGGACGTTGTTCTATAACATAGTTCAATCGCCTTTAACATGGCAAGCTTTAGTAACCCAATCTATTTTCATAAACCACTGTTCCATAGCTTGATGACCCTGACTCCAGTTAGTATCATTCAAAATGGTGGACAAACATCTTTCGTTCTCGATAAACATGATGAGCTATTGGAAATTATCTGTCATCCATCTGTGGAACAGTGATAAACTAGTAGATGTATGTTACCACTGTTTATCAAATTATAACTAAAACAGTTTAACTGTGACATTCGTGAGCCTATGTTGATGGGATGATTGCTTCATCTATGATATAATATGATATGATTCTGTATTTCCTCCAATTTGGAGAGCCAACGTGTAAAAACGTCTAATTGACTTTATTAGAGAGGCCGTTCAGTTACACGTTTAATGGAAATCTTGCACGACGCACATGTAGAATTATTGATCTCTTTGGATTCCTTTTCTCCGACTGTGTAAAAAGGTAAACAAAAGTGATAAGATTAAGGGGCCAAAAAGGTAAATTGATAGGGGTACAGTTATTCCAGATATCCCGGGCCCTCGGGAAATATCATATTGTCTCTCGGAATAAAACCAATATTGAATCCCTCTCAGTAAATAACCTTTATATAATAGCATTGTATAACTGCAATATCATTAGACCAACACTCATCCTATACAATTTTTGAGAACTATGTACAACTCCTGGATAGCGTAAACTCCTGAGCAGCGTATACAACTATTCAACTTGATATATGACATCATACTTTGGGTGGGATAACAAAGGATATACAATATACAATTGTAGACCTCTCTTGAGGTCAACTGGCAAAATTGTATACCGATACTGTAATCCTTGAAAGTTCGGAGGTCGAGGTCAACAGTACTCTCAGGGTTTACTGTTGAGGTATACACTTTTGCCAGTTGACCGAAAAGAGAGGTTAACAATTGTTCTGTTAGTCCAAATAATATAATAATTGGACGAATATATAATTGAATATCACGTGAACATATTTGATAAGGTATCATATTTTAGCAAAAAATCCCCAAACCGTCGAATACTTGTAATTTTTTACACAACTTATTTTTTCAAAATTAAAAAAATTTCAACATAAAAAAAACTTTTTTTAAAAATAGGGGTCAACAGTACCTAGTAGTGGTCAACAGTTTACATTTTGTTGACCGCTCATCAACCAATCAGAATTGAGTATTTCAATTGAGGTACTAACAACACAAAATGACTGATATCTGTTGTCTTTCCAAAATTATATTAGTTATTTGTAAGCAATTTCCATACGGTAAATCAAGGGCATTTAATTTAGAAAATGTATAATCTTTATTTTTCAGATACAATATCAATGAGATTGCCTCCCGGGGATTCTGTACTTTATTTAGTTTGTCTTGTATATCCTTTTAACTTTGATATAGACAAAGAGACCAAACAAAATACGTTTCGTTCATGGACCACTGACTCACGCGTTTTATTCATGTCCCGACCTACACCTGTAAACAGAATATAAAACAGTTTCTCTTGTTGTTCAATGATACATTATATTGGCGTTTTTGCATCAGCACATTGGTGTTGTTGCATCATCGATAAGAAACAGAGTGGTGTTGTTGCATCAATAGTGAGGAATTAAAACCACGAATTTATCGCTTCTTGATGATGCTACATGTATACCAATGACAGTTTTTTAAAATATAGATCATGTGCTAACAGCATGTGTATGATTATTGAGCAACTCGTCCTAGAAATGGGTGTAAATTGGGAAAACAAAACATCGTACGAAAATCGATCACCGGAAGTCTGGCCATCTTGATGCAACAACACGGTGTTGTTGCATCACGATACCCCCCAGTGAATATAGTGAAATATTGGACCGAGGGCCGAAGGCCCAAGGTCCAATATTTGGTCCAATATTTCACTATATTGCCCTTAGAAATGACGTATTGTACTATTATTATTGACCATCTAGCTTATTCACTAATCCATGGTATCGGGGGAAAGAGGTTACGGTCGTCAACTTCGTATCAAGATGGCGGACGGGAAGTGTCGATTTCGATATTTTTAGTCAGTTTCATTGAATTAAACTTATAGTTGACGTAATGCTTTGATAATTGAAATAAACCAGACTTATATGATATTGAAACTCTGGAGTATGATAAGTTCATATACCATGCGTGGGCGCCACAGTTCAACGATATCTTCCACCGATTAAGGGAATGTTACTGGAAATATATGAAACGATTATGGTAATGAAACTAAAATCCCCGTAACCTTGGCTTGATACTTAATTTAATTAATTAATTAATACCAGTGTTACTGGTACTTGCATTGAAGAGTAAAGATTGATGTATCATTATAATGCCATTACACGTCGCACGAAACTGGGGACAATTAGAGTAACATTATGGCGTCAAAATACCAAACAATACAATGGGCAGTATAGGGCGCAATCAGCATTATAACGTCAAAAACGACAAGCGTTACATTTTGTCAATTTTAGTCAACCTAGAAATAAGATGCTTTATTCTTATTCAATCCTGGTAAAATTCACAGAGCAACAAGATCTCGAAGACAATATTTCTAAAATGTTTTTGATTTTTGAAAAACGGTCAGGAAATCCACTCGGGGCGTTAGCAAAAATTGATATGTATGGGATTTGTGGTAAAAAATCGATGCGTTACATTTTTTCAAGTCTCTAAAAGCAACTCTTATTTTTTTATTATTTGAAGAATAAAAAAATCGGTTATTGTTTTGTAAATTTCGCCATGACAATATTGTGCAGTTAAATTTTTTTTGAAATCAGACCTAAATTAGAAGGTTAAATAAAGGTAAACTTATTGCTTGTCTCCTTCGTCTTCAAAACCTTACACAATTTTGAAAATTTTACAAGCGTTCATATAAGACGATTTGAACTGTAGCCGCTAGGCAATTGTGACGTCATAAAAGCACATGTTTCAATGAATAAAATGTGAAATTTTAGTAAAATTCTGATCAGTATTTCAAAAGTTATCCCGAATTCAACGAACCGTGTAAGCATGGAATGTTACGTCTTACAGCGTATTTGACGATGTCGGAGTACATTTAACTTTAAAAATATGGTAGATCTCATCAAACTTTTCAAGGAAAAATTATTTCAGTGAAATGCGAATAAAAAACACTTCAAAATGATATATAATGCACATAGTTAGCTTTTTAAATAAGGCAGATATTAACGCTTAAAGCTGAGATTAGCCCGTATTTCCCGAATTGTCCCCAGGTCCGTGCACGTCATACATAGGTTTACATTACTTTTTGGAGGCCCTGTGTAAATTCCGTTAACACCAAAACTAAAATATGACTAAATCAAATAAATCATTATGATAACACTTACATGAGACTCCAAACGTTGACGGGGTGAAAACACAAAACCTACTTCGGACAAAACAGACACAGACGAGGCTCGTCTTGACCCCGGCCTTGACCTTGTGCCGCGTGACTTAGCACTTGCCACAGATGGCGCTGCAGATTGGATTGGTGTTTTAATTGACGAAGTATTTCCATTGCGTGCATATTTGAGTAAATTGTCCCAGTCTTCCCTACTCTCAAACATAACAGTTTGTGTCTTTGTGGGTTTATCCTTCTCGTTAAGTAATTGGTCACCCCATGGATTATTTGAGGACTTGCTGGCTTTCTTGCCTCCTCCCGATCCCTCATTTTTGTCAAATTCGACAGACTTATGAGACATGAATGTAAAATTCTGAAATAAGATAAATCTGTTTACATAATGTGTATAATGTGTTATGTCCAATTTGGATTTATTTATTTTCACAAATACAATATACAGTTTAGATTAATATTGGTTCGGTTAATTCCACGCTTTCCATTTTCTCTCATCTTTTGCCCTGTTATAAGCAATCTAATTTATCACGCCTAACCATCGACAAAGTACAGTGACAAATTATACGGGTGTACACTTTAGATGCACGTTGTCGAATATTGAAGCAAGGGCTGAGATTCTTACCTTGCCCAGGGCACAGAAAATCCTATATATATCTATTGATTTATGTAGGGAAACCCCGGCTGAGTTAGATAATATAAAATCATGAAGCTCCAAAAAAATATAGTACTATGGTTACATCTAAATGATTTCTAGAAGAGCTACATATACAGAACGTGAAGCGAAGTCCATGAGAGAACAAACTAAAATTATTCGATTCAAAAATTATAGGAATTTTGAGCATACCTAATATGTTACTCTCAAAAAGTACCTTCCGAGGTAGATATTTTTAGTCTCAATGGAAAATTAACATTGGTGAGTTTGTGAGACAATGTATTTAACCATTGCTAACTTTTTTAATTTTCATCTATGTTTTTCAAATTTCCATCAGTTATTCACAATATTCACGCCATGTGCCTCCAAGAGTTTAGTAATATTATACAAAATTTATAAAATGTTATGACTGATAAAGGACCATGCACCTTTATCTTTACAGGGGGTATATTTTTTAAGAGATAATCAATTTTAATTTGAACTGTATCTAGGTTTAACAGGAGTTCGCATAATTTTAAGAAACCAAATTACTCACGTTTGACCGATTTAACAATGTGTATTCCTATCATACAGTGTTCTCCAAATCTTTATGTTTTATTCTTTTTTCCTGAAACAAAGACGGTCATATTTATCTTAGATCTTGTTTTTGTTTTATGTTTTACTTGTGTTAGAAAGGTTAATCAGTTATAAACGTATTTTGTGTATAAAACTTATCATAAGTATCTTCGAGACTTTGACCACTAATAAAATATTAATCGTGAAATGTAAACGAATACACTTTCAATAAATAATTAAAGATTGTGAATGATGATTTGTAATCAATCTAGCACTCGAAATTGGTATTTTTAAAGGGTCATTGCCCAAAATTTGCGCACGTGCAGAACAATCACTTCCGGTTTATTGAAGCGTGAATAATCTCAATGATCAATTTTAACATCAAACTGGACTGTAGGGTGTTGATGTTGCACCTCTCAGTTGTCTCTTACCAAACATTAATCCCAAAAAACTAACGCAGTTTTCACCGATTTACCTTGTCACACTAATCACGGGGGGGGTAGCTGTTGCAGTGTAAATGAGTAACCTGTCCCCAAAATCCGAGTTTCCCCCAGTTTTACATTTGTAAAAAGACAAGGTAAGTATCTTCTTTTATTCATACTTTCGAACATTTTCCATCCATTTTTTGGATTAAGGATGGTGTTTTAAGCAAATAAATTGTCAATCGCGATCGTGTCATCGAAGTCATTAAGCAAGTGAACGTTAATAGCTGAAGTCGTAATTCATTGATTTCAAGCTATGTTATTTGTACAACAAAACGTAGTTTAGCAAATTTGTCACATACAATTTATAATATATAGCCATGGGCTTGCATTTAGAGTTGAAACCCCATGATATAACTAAATCTTCAAAGTTTTGAATCAGTGTCGTGAGCTACAATCGGATCCATGACCACTTATACGCGGATCCTCCCAAGAAAGAGATATTGCCTAAGGAACGCCAAACGAGTTTCGTGAACTGATATTTGGGGAATTGATCCAGTTTAGCAGTACTTTCTACAATAATGATGCATATATATTTATATATTTATGTGTTTATATTCAAATTTTAAATGACCGTGTCTTTCATAACCGGTGCAGTGCCGTGCTCACATTTGCGTCGATTTTCAGTAGCCTATATTTGAAACCAATTGAAAATGACGTCAGCATGATGAAAGTAGGATATTTCAATACCCTGCGTGCAGAGTCTAGTTAAACTACGAAAAAAACGAAGTTCTCTTTTAAGAAGTGAAGTCAAACGAATGCAAAGGGTAATATTTCAACGATATAGCAGAGAGACTTGATATAGCAGTTACCAGTTGATCGTGGGGGCATTAAAAATTGACAGTTAGTTTTTCCCCGATGAACTTGGAACATGAATAGAGTGTTAATTGATGTTGAAAAGTACTAAAACACGTTCATATATAAGATAACCTTATTCTCCTTCATAGTAGTGTCTGTAGTAGGTATGAATAGATGATAAAAAACAATCTGCATAACGTTAGCTCAAAATATCTAAGTTGGCATCCGTTAAAGCAACGCTGTAAACGCTCGGCCAACGCGGATGTTTCTCGAGTGGCCATCCTAACGCTCCAAAGGTTTTGAGCTGCTCAAAATATTGCGAGCGTTGAAAAAGGGACAATTTTACGCCCTGGCAAAGTTTATCACCGCTCCACCAACGCCCAGTCAAAGTTTGGCACCGCTAGACGCTAGACGCAAGTTCGTGGACGCTTGAATCCGCTAGACCAACGCAGAAATCTTAAGTAGTGGTCACACTTGCCGTGTAGGCTCACCGTTCGCCACCGTGTGGCTAATTATGGCAAGACGGTGACGATTCAGCTACGGTCGCATTTCTTTTTGAATTTATGACCGGGTTTATACCGTGCTATACCGGGTCTTTACCGGCTTTATACCGACTTAGTACCGGGCTAACGTGTTTAAAGAGTAGTGGCTTACCATTGTCACCGTGTTTTCAACGGGTTTATACCTTCCTTTCATCGGGTTTTCACCGGTCGGAACTCATTGATAACGCATTGGTACCGCCAAACCGCATTGAAAACGTCATGAAACCGCTCTCTATAAATCACTCATCTTTGGGACTAGTCTGTATGTGAACATAAGTTTGGACATCTGTCTACTCTTTTCAATTTATTGTGGGTATACCTGTGCGTATAATTTTCAGCTTTGTATCAGATAAGTGACATTATGTCTGCCCGAGGAAGACGTGGAAAGGGGAAAAAACAAAGCCAGTTAATGAGGAGATGAAAGAAACCAAAAATAAACAGCTTGATGAGAATAACACCCAATCATCTGAAGATGAAGAGAAATCCACTCCTAAATCCTCTCCGGAGATATATATATCTTTTATTGACTCTCTGATGTCATTGCAATGACATATTAGTCACTACAAACTACAATATACAAAATTAAACGAAGACTAAACTAACTACTTCATAGGAAATATACAAAGTTGTAAAATACAATTACAGCATCACAAAATGTAAAATACAAAAATGAGATAATTGTAAAATACAGATACAACATGACAGAATTTAAAACATCAGTGTGATGTATCATTGTTACAATATTAATCCAGTTTTTTGAATGAATGATAAATGAACTTTGCTAGGTGTAAAATTACATAAGAATTTTTATGAGACAAAAGCTTTTTGAAAATAAAGTTAGGACTTCCTACAAAATTAAATTGCGTAAGGGTGTCAAACAAAAGTTTTCTCTCTGTTGTATTTTTCTTGCACACCATGATAAAGTGTTGTTCATCTTCTTAAATACCACACATATTACATAAACGTTCATCCAAAGGTCTTGGCTTAGGCTTCAAATGACGACCAATTTCTATATGTAATTTGTGTGAACTAAGCCTAAATCTACTTATTGCTTGTCTGTAATTTTTATTTTGTATATCTAAATAACCCTCTCTTTCAAAGACATTTTTGAATGTTATGTAAGTTCTTAAAACAGGATATTTGGAAATATCTTTCTGCCACTGAGACTTATAATTCTGATACAGTTTTTTTGTTATCATCTTGAGTTTCCCAATATGAGAATAAATCACATTTTTTCAAAATATCAGTGATTTCGTTTGACCAAGTGCCTTTAAAACCCAGTTGGCTCATTTCACGGTCATGCGTATATGTTTTATGAAGAATGTTTCCAGGTGATAGATGAATTAAACGGAGCCAATATTTAATTAACTTAATTTCAAAACGTATTTTTAATGGGTAACGTCCTAATTCTCCATAGACTGCTGGTGTTGCTGTTGATTTTTTAACACCTAATAAACTTTTAAGAAAAGATAAATGCATTGTCTCTATTGTCTTAAGATGTTTTTCATTAATCCACACCTCTGAAGCATAAGTTAGGATAGGTTCAACTAAAGAGTCAAAAGATACCTGTACCCAGAAAGGTATACAAACTTAACGACATTGGAATTGAGGAAGATTTACTAGAGTGGATACAAACAGAAGAGAACGATTTCCTATGGAACACAAGAAGAACAGATTACAGATTACCAGACAAAAAAAGAGCACGCTTTCAGCAGAAAGAGAAAGCCTTGAATTTAGAGGTTGAGTAGTCTTTAATAATACAGACGAACTCAAATGAACACATTGTGTGTGTGTGTGATTTTTTACATTAAATTGTTTATAAATAGGGCTTAGAAGGGTTTATTGTATTGCTCTTGGAGGACATATTCATAGATTAGGTGTAGAACGTGTACGTTTACGTATCAAATCATTGTTCCTTATGGACCATCATCAACCAACTTAGTGGCCTTTGATTGATTGATTGAATGTCTGAGAAAAAGTTGTATTAAGCATACTTTATCTTGACATTTCACAAATTTTCCAGGGAATGTTGATGCTCGCTCTAGGTTAAATTTGATTCACCGATCGTCTCTCAAAATCCAAAAACATTTACGAAATATTGTCTTCAAGAAATATGTTGTTTTGTGTAAATTATGTAATGGTCGTCTAAAACAAATCATTTTATTTTTAAACTGACGAACTTGCGATGTGTAACTGAATTTCATTGAATTAAGAGACGTTGTGTTTATAAATGGTCTCTTTTTGTCATGAAACACTTACCACCAAGATCGGCCCAGATAAACTTGTAGTCAGAGTCTACCAACGCCATTAACACAACAGAGTAGAAACCCTTGTAGTTGTAGTATACAGTCGAAATGTTGAGGCATGCGCAGACCTCTATTTAGTGATATTTTCATTTCAAATATGGCGGCCAATCCGATGTCTGACGACCCTTACAAAGAATCTAGGCAGTTTGCATTTTTACCTCCTGTGAAATAACAAGTGGAATTTAGTAGTTGTTTTGTGTTTTATTATCATTCTGCATCGTAATTCTATGTGATGTGGTGTTGAAATGTCAGCAGAAATACATATCCATACGATAATCGAGTGAATCAGATAACAGATTTTTCGAAAACCCGTCTCGTGCTAAGAGTGTAAAAACTTGTATTAACATGCTCAAAAGTGCCAATGTGCACATCAATGTCAAGCTAAATCAATGTTGTGTCTAAAACAGGTACCCGATCTACTCAAAACAGCTTGTCATTCACGTATACACGCTTAGCAAACACGGCGAAATGACCTGAATCTTGGAATTCCGTTCAAGAGCTAGTAATGTTTGCTCCGGTCTTCGTCATAAGTGTTCATCAGACTTCACGCATGCGCAGGAGAAAAACCATCAACCAATAAGGTTTATAAATCAATTTTGCGCATGCGCCTTACAACGGTAAACAAATTCGTATTTATAAACGAACCAGTTTGAGATAACCCGATATCAGTCGGAGAAATCTGACGATCTACGAAACTCACTTCAAAAAATCAAATGCGGACTGACGGCGTATTCTACTATGTTTGGATCTAAGATTTTCAGTATAGATAAAGTCTTTTATGATCTTTCGAATGAGGTAAGTCTCTAGTTCGAAAGACAATCGTATCAACTTGAACAAAAGTTGAGTTTTGACGAAAAATTTTTACATGCGCAGAAGTCCCATTTTCGTTGTAACATATTGACTGTATAAGGAACCCGACTTTTCAGGGCATTTCATTGCGACATGCTTCCCGTCCAGGGCACCTATGGTGTTTGGGAAGTTCCAGCGACTCAAGAACCCGTCAGCTAT